ACCACCAGCAAATTGGGGGACCTTTCAAGGTGGCCGTTTTTAGTGGAAACCACCAGTAAATTTGGGAAGGGGGCAGTTTACTTGGAGCCAGACAATTGCAACTTTTGACCCTTGTTGGAACCTCCAAAAGTGGCGATCGCTTCAATGGAAGTCGCCAGAAACTTGATCAACTTGTGACTTGGTGAAATCCAGTGCCCCTTGCATGTCGCATGAAATTTGGATCCCCCTGATTGCGGGAGGGTGGATTTCCTGGAGATCTCCGGTTATGAAATTTTCCCTTCAAGAATAATTACTAGATACATGGGATTGGGTCCCGGACCCTTTTTCCCCACCCCCGACGTCTCACGGAAGGAAGCGGGTAAAAACTATATAAGAATTGGCTCTCTTAGCTCATCCGAAGCATCCTCTGTTTATGCGTATGGATCAAAATCAAACCACCAGAAAACCGCCGGTCTTTTTCTTGTTTCCATTTACCAGGGTTCCAGATTAGGTACCTTTTTTTTGCCCACACCCATAAGGTCACCCATATCCTCCCCTGAAGGCAGGGATAGATTTGGGTGGTGCTCAGGAGGAGGCCAACTCTTCAACCGCGGAGCATTGGAAAAGAGCCCCGTTGAGCAGATGGAGAGAGCGGAGGGGCGAAGGGGGCGTTGGAGATTTCCTCCACCAATTTGGGGTGGCTGTTTTTGTTTTGTTTTTGAGTTGGTACTCCCTTTTTGGGTGGGTTTTCAGGGGAAACCAAAAGGCAAGGAAGTTGCTGAGAATGACAGCTTTTTAAGTTGTTGCGTAGCCTCAGAGAAAGAAAATAATCAGGCCAGCACAGGCCACAGCCAAATTTCAGCATGCTGGGATTCGGACATTTGCTTTTCACCTTTGCCTGAGCAGAAATGATCCAGCTTAGGCTAGTGTTCCGCGCTGTCATCGGTGCTTGCCTTTGTTGGTATATGCGCGCTGCAAAGCAAGTATGCTTATCTAGGTCCCCCAGTGGTGCCCTTTTACCGTTTGTTTTTCGGGGGGAGGGTTCCCCTACTAAAATGGACTAAAGAGAGAAAACAAAAGGAGAAAAAAGCAACGGGTACCAACTTATTCTAACCTCTCTACTGAAAACCTAGTTATAATGCAGGTAGTCTAGGGCTACCTTCCCCACTATTTCCAGGAATCCTTCTTTTCAGGAAGCCATTAAAAAACACCCAGGGAAACCGCTGGTTTTTGAAAAGAAGGATGGTTGAAAAGAATGGAAAAGGAATCAACCCTTAGAGGTAGGCTTATAATCAATGCTGACGCGCTGATCCTGACAAAGTGCCCAAGGATACTCCCCAGGCAGGATGCCCCAAACTTGTAGCGCCCAGCACCGGCTGGCAAGAAGAGGCACCTGCAAATCCCCGAACTATTCAGGCCACATCTATACCCTAGGGTTCAATTCCCATTAAAATAATGACAAGGACAATTTGGACCATGAAGCTGAAGAGTCAATAATGGCGGCCATATTAGCCCAACCATGGTTTCAATGGTGCTGACTGAACTACAGGGTATATTGATCAAAAGGTCCTTTAAGGCGACCACTAAAAAAACCCACCCAAAACAAACTGACTTTCACATGGGATAAGTTACCCATGGTCATTTGAGGAAGCCCTCAAAGGAATATGGACCAACCCCCACGTAGCCGCAGCTCAGGTTTCTGGTGAAATCCCGCCTTCGGTTCGGTCCAAATCAGGATGCTGGAAGCCGGGCGCTCTTCCTACCTGCAGCAGTCCATGTCTGAGGCCGGTTGGCCCGATCCGAGCCGAGCTTCAAACTTTCAGACCTTCACGCCACCCCAGGAACTTAGAATAGGCTACAGAAGAAAGGGTATCCCTATTCTAACCTCTCCACTGGAGGACCTAGGTAAGGGGTCTTTGGACGTGAGCACTGTTTGAAACTTTCATCGGATGTTCCATACCCACAACAAGTGATTCGCTTTCTTGTTGGACTTCAACTTGTTGGTTGAAACTTCGGTCGGATTTGCCATACCCACCAAAACATGTGTTTTTGTTGGACTTCAACTGCTTGATCGACACTTTGGCCGAATTGTCCATGACCACAAAAAGTTGTTTGTTTTTCTTCAACTTTTTGGTTGAAACTTTGGTCGGATTTGCCATGCCCACCACAAGTATGTTTTTTTGTTGTTGGACTTCAACTGTTTGCCCACAACGAGTTATTTTTGTGTTTTTGAAGGACTTCAAGTTTTTGGCTGAAACTTTGGTCGGACTTTCCATACCCACCAATAATATGTGATTTTGTTGGACTTCAACTGTTTGATTGAACTTTGGCCGGATTTTCCATACCCGCAAAAAGTTATTTGCTTTTTTGTTGGACTTCAACTTTTTGGTTGCAACCTTGGTCGGATTTTCCATACCCACAAAAATATTCACTGTTTGTTGGACTTGGTTGAAACTTTGGTCGGATGTTCCATCCCACAAAACGTTATTCACTTTTGGTTGGACTTCCACTTCATGGTTGAATCTTGGTCGGATTTTGCATACCCACAAACAGTCATGCATTGTGTGTTGGGCTGCAACTAGCAAGTAATCTTAAACTTTTGCGGGTATGGGAAATCTAATCAATCAACAAATTGAAGTCCAAGCAAAACGTGGCTTTAACTCTGTGTGGCATGGACAACAATAACAAGTGAATAAGTTTTGGTGGGTATGGAAACTCCGACCAAAGTTTCAGCCAAGAAGTCCAGCGGGGTGGCTACTCTCCCCCAGCTCCCAGGACCCCTTTGGAAGACTTGGTTCCATTTACAGAGGCCTTCTGGGAGCTTCTATGTTAGTCTGAGGCAGTGTACTGCAACCTTGGTCGGATATTCCATACCCTGGACTTTTGTTGGTTGACACCTTTTTGATTTTCCACAGCCGCAAAAGGGTTTGTTTACTTGTTGCAGCGGGGTGGCTACTGAAGATGCCACGGCGAGTGTATTTCTAGTGCTACCTTCCCCCTTCTTTCCAGGGATCCGGATCTTTTTAGAAAACCTCTCGAAACCCATGGAAACGGATCCGGTTTTCGAAAAGAACGATGGTGGTGTGAAAGAATGGAAAAGGCATCCGCCCGAGTATTGGCGGCTCCGCCAGGCCAAGAGCTGCGGCATGTGGGGCGACGTGTCCAACTGCCGGGTGGCCGCACTGCACGGGGTGCCCGTCGGCGACCTGCCGGGACTGCACGGGTGGCACCTGAAACCCCCGCAGCCGGGGGCCCCAGGCGCCGAGAGGCGCCGGGAGGCGCCGAGAGGCGCCGAGATCGAAGTGACGCGCGCCAAAATTCCAAGGAGTGGGAAGAATGACAGGTTTGAGTTTATTTTTTGCTGGAACAGCGACCAAACATGTCTAACACTGACATTTTTGTTCATTTGTTCATCCCCCTGATTCGGATAACCGCCTGCACATGATCTCTTCCTGGGCTTGCTTGGGGTTTGGACTGCCCCGACCCTGAGTCATGAGGCTCCAACATGTCCACTGAAGATTCAATTGCATTGTTGTGGGTTTTGCTGAAGTAGGTGGAATCTACCAGAAGCGCCTCCGCTGAATCTGGATGGTTTCATTGCAGAGTGGGCAGAGTGTCAACATGTGCACATTCCCAGAAGCATGTTTTCCGGAGATGCGAGCAAGCAAGATTTCGGGCGAACCTGGGAAAGCCAAATCTTCATATGTAAACAGAGTCGTCACATATATCAAGTGGGAGGCCCACGGTGTTGTCAGACGCATGGGCTGGGCCCACCCTTGCCAGCACGCTGCCACGTCGAAAGCGGCAACTGCCCGTTGCCAACGGGCAGTTGCTTGCCCAAATGACACGGCAAATCCAACATGAGTTCCATTTACCCCGCAAGAAGCACAAGCCCAAGCCACCTTGGGGGAAGTGGCTCATGGAAATTCCCTAGGGGCCCGCCTGCTTGTCCCACGGGTGGAGGATCAAGGTGGGCTCCCAGAAAACCGCCGCGAGGCTTTCCCAGGCGCTGGGCTCCTCGTATCCGGCCCCGCTGACCTTCCACTATCTGCCCCGCGGTGGAAGCCGGGGATACCCTCGTTCAAGCAGCGGACATGGCTGGCTCGTGGTACCCATTTTTTTTTTGGGGGGGGGGGTAAGGAAGCCAAAGGGAAACCCGTCATGAGTTGTTTGTTTGTTTTGTTGTTTTTGCGGGGGTCCCCTAAAACAGACATGCTAATTGTCAGGAAGGGCTTGGAAGTCCAGCGTGCTCTTCAGATTCTCAGCTGGCTCTTTGCCCGCTTCCGTGTTTGTTGCAAACAGGGTAGAACCTTCTTCATGGGTTCTGCTGGGTGGTTTGCTTTTTGCGTTTGCCGATGCCTTTGGCACAACACCTCATTGATGCCTGCAACATGAGTTTCTCCATGAGACAGGTCGTTGGCGGTTTGATTTGCATGCCCCTTTGTGTAGAGTGCGGAACGAGGGCGTCTTTTTTTGACACAAGTTGTGTGCAACGTACAGTCAGTCCGCCCATTTTGTACGCCAAGCGGACCGGCCGATGCATGATCTGTGTTCACGACATCGCCAGGGCTGAGGATCAGTTGCAGCAGCATGGCATACAAATCCTTCTCCAAACCTTTCCCGCGCTGCATCTTTCAGGCAAAAGCGCGAGCCGAAAACCAACTGATTTTTTGCCAGCTTCCCTGTATCCTGCTTCCACTGGATGTGCATGTTTGAGCTGAGTTGCTCTTCCCTTTCGCATGGCTTGTTTTCATTGTTTAGGGCCTTGCGCTTTCGTGAGGGAGTGGTTACCAAATCGGGGAGCTCAGGAATGTGGATGAGATCAAGGCGCTTCATGCCATGCTACAGGAGCAAGCAGAGCCCTGGCCTGCCAAGGGTCCTGGACATGTGGCTGTGGGTCAGAAATAGGTACCCCATAGGTGTCCTTTTTGGTGGTGTTGCTCGAAGAATAGATGGGGTTCGATCCCTGGTATTTACCTGGTGGTTTAATCATCTACAGGGATATCCATCTATTTCCAACCTAAAAGGACACCTATTTAGGTACCCCAAATGCCCGGGTGGTTTAATTTTGACCCATGCCTATGTGTGGCCAAGATTGACTATATTTTGGCTCACGGCTTTTTCTGCGTTTGGCCTACATACTTCAAGAATCACACTTCTGTTCCCCAAGCGACCCCTGGTCTTCCAAAGTCGGTTCAAAGTGTGGCCGAGGTAGCTCAGCCATACGTTTGGAAGTTTGCATGTCGTTGTGTGTTTCTGGGGATGTATGGGGCAGTATGTTTCATCCAACCGGCTAAACTCGCCAATGCGCGAAACCGCGTTTTGACTGCCTGACGGTTCCATTTTCCCTTTTATGGGGTCCCCATAAAAGGAATTGGGGACCCCCCCACCCGCCTTCCCCTTAAGGTAAGGGGGATGTTGTTTTGCTAATCTGAAATATGGTCTTGGAAGGTCAGGGTGTAGAGTTCCGAGCTCTCCGAATGGGCGAGGGACATTACTTTCATGGCCTTTCGTGCTTTTAATTTTAGATGGTCGCGGCCTTACACAGTACAGCCGAGGAAGCATTCCTGGTGGGCAACGCTGGATTGCAGGCAAGGGGCCCTCACGGGATCTTTGGCTGAGGGACTGGGATGGGCTTGGAATTCGACTTCGTGTGGTTTTTGCGTGGGAATCATGGGGTCGAATCGAGGGTTTTTCGAATTCTATGGGACAACTAGAGCACGACGCGGCTACACTGCAAGAGTGCGAGACTATGGGCAGACTGTGAGGCTGTGAGGCCGGAAGACTAGAGGCTTGAGTTGCGACCGAGCTGCAAAAGTGCAACAAAGTGTACTCTGATCGAACATGGCATGGTAATTACACACCTTCCAAAACCGATAGTGTTTAAAGCTCGCGCAAAAAAAAAGAGGAGCAAGTTCTGAATGCCCTCAACAATTCTGTTCGTAAATGGACTTAAAGCTTTTGGGAAAGACAATTTCAGAGGTACACAAGCAAGTTAAGACTGTTTCTGACCAATCCATTCGATCGCAAGTGAGTGGTTGGCTTCCCTATAGCCAGGCAACCACAAATTGGTGATTTGGATGTTTGGTTTGGATTCGGATTTTTGAACCCCTGGTTGAAACGCCTCCATTTCACCAGGCTCCGGCTCCAAACCAAACAACGAGGGAGGCTGATACGATCGGAAGGTGAGTGGTTGGCTTCCCTATGATCAGGCAACCACAACCTGATGCTTTTGGATTCGGATTTGAACCCATGGCCGGGAAACCCCAGCGTTTCACCACCAAACCACCGATTCGGCTCCAAACCACCGATTCGGCTCCAAACCACCGATTCCAGCGAGCTGAATTCGTAGCTCCGCCAGGCTCAGGGCCTGGCCATGTGGTGGCAGGACCGGGACCGCTACGTGAAGGACCCGGAAACCGACCCCGACCGAACGACCGACCGCCGGAAAGCGCCCAGCGCCAAGCGCCTTGCCGCTTGCCGCCGACCAGAAGAAATGCGCGCGAGGTCACCGGTTCCATGTGCCTTTTTTGGTTTTGTGTGTAGCGAAAAGGGCGAATACAAAAGGCCATCGGCTCAAAGCTTGCTATTTTTTGGCGGTTTGATGGTTTGGCTTGTGGCGAAGGGGTGAACCCACGAGAACCAGGAGTTCAAATCTGAATTCGTTTCAATCCAAACCACCAAGGGTTATCTGAAACCAGACATGAGTCGGGTACAGTAATTTGATAGTGCATGGAGCTACCTTGGGCAATTGTTTGTGGATGGCATGGTTCTCAGCAGGGGAATGGGTATGGGTTTGTTTCATTGAAAGCTTGGCTCTGGGTGAGCCTAAACCGACCCAAGGCAGCCAGCGGCTCCCCGAATTCCGCAACAATGTCGAGTGGACGAAACGAAAAGTGCGCCTGCGCTGAAAGAATCTTCAGGTGTCCGCCTGGCGCCAGGAGGAGCAAGGGCGGAGAGAGCTGCCGGCCTAGGTGACGAGCGCAGACGGAGACAACGTCGGCTGGATAGATGTGGGGGGTTGATCAAAACGTCCGTAAATAGGATGACCATTGGTTGGAAAACCGCTAAAACGATTTGGACAAAGTTCCTTATGGTCAAAATGGGAGCCAGGAAGATTGATCTATGTCCCACTTGGACAAAAAGTGACTCATGGTCAAGGGAGCCGGACGGAAGATTGGTCAACCCCCATTTCGCCAGGTGCCTTTGCTGAGCCCAACTTCCCAGTTCGAAGGACTTCTTGTCTATCCCATGGCCACAAAGAGCAGGTGGGTTCGTTCTGCGGCAAGGCAAGGCAGCCACCCAGCTTTCGCCAGCTTCCGGAACCTAGCCCTGCCTGCCATTGAGCCATGCGAGGAGAAAAGCTGGGGACAGCGGGTTCTGAGTGTGCTCCCAAATTGTGTTGGTTGCAGGGCGCTTTTTGGTCCGAATGGGTCTGTAGCAAGCTGCTATTTGAAAGATCGTACCCTTTCTCAGCCTTTTTTTGGGTTGGGAGGGTTCCTCTACTGAAATAGACGTCCAGAAGATGAATCGGGTACCCTTATTCTAACCTCTCTACCGAAGGACCCGGAATCTTTGTGCTAATGATCAGCTGCCGCCTCAGCCTCGCAAGCCTACAAGGCTTGAAGACTGCCAGATGGATGAGTTCAGCTTTAGCCAAGTCATGGCCTGAGAGGTTTGCTACCAGGGGACGGAGATGGCCAAACGGCTGGTCCAGGTGTTTGTTGCGCAAGGTGAGCTGCCGGTCACTTTCACACACTCAGGGATATTCAATTTCCTACTATTCTATGTGCTTCGCGCATGTATAAAGGGAGAGAGAAAGGGAGAGAGAGGGGGGGAGAGATGCATGGCTGGACGAGACAGGATATTCAAGATAAGATAAGTCCTAGATAAGATAAGATACTATTGCATCAGATGATTATAACAAAAGATAGTTGGTTGGTTTGCAGTCCCTATATATGGACAGCTTGTGGGCACCAGCAAAAGCGGCAACTACACCGCCACCAAAGGGCAGGTGGTGTGCTTGTTGTATTTGATGTACACTTGTGAGAACACGTGAAAAAGCGAAAGCGACCTAATGGCTTGGCTTCGGTTTGGCGAAGGGTTCCTTTCCTTGATTCACATTTGGGTCGGTGAGTTCTGGATCAACCCATAATGCCAGCTCCTTAAAAGACAGTTGTGCCCATTTGAAACATGGTGTTTTCCACCAAAATAAAGGGACACCACCATTTACAAGGCAATGTTCATGTGTATAATGTAAGGATCCCTGTTGAGGGGTCGATTTTTGGTGCAGGAGCAAGTGCAGGAGCAAGAGCAGGAGCATGAGGAGGAGGCCGAGCAGGAGCCTTGAAGCCGGACGTCGACCGGTAGATGTTTTGTGTATTCTTGCCGAGGCTATGCTTTGTTTGATGCATGCGGCGTTCTAAGAAAGCAACTGAAGGGCATTCTGCAGGACACGTTCTTGCAATTCCCTGGTTTTTCAGGTTTTTTTCATTTTTGGTGCTTTTCTGCACATGTGTTGAGCTTTTCTGCACATGTTTGGGGCTGGTTTTGCTATTCGCACCTGGACTGTTTGGAGCTTGTGTCGATCCTGCAGGACCACGAGCAGGAGGCTCGCCTGAGGGGCTCCGTAGGTGTCCCTTCTGATGGCTTCGTTTGGGCAGAAACAGATGACTTCCACCAGACTGGTTAGACTCCCCATTTACAGGGGAAACCCATCTATTTTACCACAAGGACACCTATGTTCAGCTCATCAATCAGAGTCACCAACTTTGGCCTTTGGCTCTTGAATCAGCCCAAATAGGCGTTGTGTGCCGCTGTGTCGGGTGGTGCAGCGCTAGCGGCTCAAATCTAAGGGCCCAACATGGAACCCTGGCAAAAAAACATCAGGGTACGCAGATTGTAAACTTCGGTTCCATTTGCCAAGGTGGCCATTTTGGTATACAGGTTTTTTGACCCACAGCCAAATGAACAATTAGACAAAGACCGTGCGGTCCCCAGGCCCAAAATGCCGGCAGTCATCGCAATGTAATGAAACCTAAGCCGGGGTCAAGAGCAGAAACAGTGGTTTGCCTGAGTGCTTGGTGAGGTAGGTCCTCTTGGCTTTTTGTGCCCGGATGCAGTGCAGCGTGGGCAGACGTCATGTGGAGTCGAAATTGTGCTCCATACTGCGAAAGCTGCCCCACTGATTTGGGCAAAATTATTTACCGTGGGCTCTTCACGTGCCTTGTGGATAAACAGTGTGTGTTTTTACGGCAAGATCTCCAGTTTCTTGTGGGCTCTTAGCACCCAATACACAGCTTACCGATGGTGCGGCAGAGAGAGTTTCTTGTTCGGGGCGCGCGGGCAGTAATGTTGACCCCATATTCATCAAACCCAGTTTCTGAATATGGGGGTGTTTCCCTCCAAAAGTGGTATGATTCCCCACTAAACCCATGGACACCCCCCCGAATTAATAAACTGGAGTTAATTTATATATGGCTTACTAAACCCGGGGACACCCTCCCATGAATAAGCTGTGGGTCAAATTCAATCAACACGCAGATTTTGGTCCATTCCACTTACCAGCGTTCCATTTTGGGTACTTATTTATTTGTGACCCACAGCCACATGACGCAGGTGGAGCAGGAAGAGGAGCACGACAAAGTGCAGGAGGCGCCGCTTGAGCAGCGCTACGCCCGGGAGTCTGAGGAGGCAGGGCGCCGCGGGCCAATCGAATTGGTCCCTGAGTCGAGGTCAAGTCTATCGGGCAAAACGGGGGCAAAGTAACTTGGCGGTTCCCAGCCTTTCTTTTTTGTTTTGTTTAAGGTTTAGTTTGAATAGAAATAGATAAGTTCCACTGGTTTAGATAGGTCTTATTCCACGTTGGCTGAAGCAGTGGCCCCTTTTCGCTTTGGGTGCCCTGGCTGGCCTCGGGAGGCTGTCCCCTGGCCGCTCAAGGCGCTCACGCAGCCGGGGGCCGAGACGTGGAAAGGGGGGGTGCCTCGCGTTGGGTGAAAGCTTTCAGAGACCGAATCCCCACCGCACCCCCCAAACAAAGGAAAAACACACACACACACACACATTTATATTTATTTATTTATATATATATATATATATGTATGAAAACGCAATCCCACCCGTATCTTCACGCAGCTATCCCCAAGCGCCTTTCCGTCTTTCGCCCGCTGGCGACTTGGGTCTTTCGAGGCTCCGGAGCTCGGAGCTGCCCTTCTATCCCATGGCAGACTTCGCCGTGAACAAAGGGCCGGGCCCTCGTCGGGGTGCGTCGCTCGGGTATGTCGCGTGTCGAGCCAGCAGTGCCTTTCAGTTGAGAGAGGCGGGGATGGGGCATGAAACGCGCAGACAGGGTCTTGCAGAGACAATTCTAAACGGTTCGGATTTGGGCTGTTTGTGGTTTCACCTGTCCTTGCGAATGTTGATTGTTTTTTTTTTGGTAGTGCTCAAATCATCCAAAAGGGGTGGGTCCACAAAAGCCACATCCAAACCGGTTTCTAGATAGAGCCTCTAGACGGCCAAACCTGGAGGGTAAATATGGGTGCGGTACTTGTAGCCTAAGCTTAACTTGTCGCTTAATGTTGGACCCTTTTCAATATGAGCCCCCGCGCCCCGCCAACAAGTGCCAACAGTCGTTTGGAGCTTGTTTAGTGGAAAAGGCTGGGTTGGACTTGCAGTTGCCAATGCTCAGCTTAGTATTGCCAAGGCTTATAATCTCAGATTCCTGCTTGATATTTTTCTGTTGGGGGGGGGGGGGCTTGAAAAGCAACTTTCCAGAATCGCGAAGCCCAAACCAGCCCCGGGATTTTGACTTGGGACAAACGTCTATAGCACCCCATTTGAGCCACAATCAAACTCGGGTCGATGAAGGTTATATAAGGTTATATTGTAAGGGATTGTCCCAGCCTTACATGGTCAAGCCGCCTCTCCAATTCTTCACACAGTTCTGGGTCCTAGCCATTTTAATTCCGGGTTTTGATGACTCACTTCCCTTTTCGGGTTACCTCCAAAAGTGGCGGCCTTTGCCATGCAAACCGCCAGGAAAGGTCTACCCATGATGTATTTTTCCTAGGTCCCCCAGCTAGGTGCCCTTTTTAACACCTTTTTTGGTTGGGAGGGGTCCCGTACTAAAATAGACCAGAGTAACCTCTCTACTGGAGGACCTATTTTTCCAACACGGTCCATGAAGAGTGCCACGCGCTTTCCGCCCGGGCGGGCTCGACTTGTAGGATCTTCAACGAGTCCAGCCCGGCGCCCTGCGGCATTCCGAGCTTTGCCGGGGACCCACGTCCCACCGTCGACGCCGGACCCAAGTTCTTGGGTCGCCGTGTCCGATTTTTTGTTTGGGTTTGGGTGACTGTGCTGCGGGCTTAAGGAAGCACCAAAAACAAAAACAAACACACTTGGTTGCATTTTGTGTTTTTTCCAGAACCCGCATGTTGCAGCTGGTTATGTGTAGTTCGATTCAAATCTTTGCCTGCTTTACTTTCTCTGGCCGTGCTTGCTGGAGGTTCTGAGTCTTGGAATGCCTTTCTTTGAACGAAAGTGATGGTCAGGCCGCCGGAACGAGCACGATAAATTGGTTGAGGTCTCTACGTTCAGCGCAGGGCGTTCCATGTTTCGATTCCTGCGCAGGACGAATCTCACAGCACTTTGCGGTATGTAGAGCACATTTGAAGCGTCCCCTCCCTTTGAAAAGAGCATGCTTTGCCCAGGAGGTTGACCATAGTCAATGCGCGCACACACGCCCGCCCGCCCACGCACGCACACACACACACAGACCGTGAGGAGACATGAGATGTTTTGGGTCCATTGGCCATCGGATTCATCGAGGTCATGCTGAGCGACAACTACTACCGCCGCCAGTGGCGGCTGACCTCTGTCCGGAGGCCCCCGGTGGCTTCTCTTTTCCGGTGGCCTCGAAGGATGACTTTGTGCAGATGCGTGGATCTTGATTTTCAGGGGCCCTGTTTTGATTTTGGAGCTCCTGTGATGCACGTCAGCACGTCAGGCTCGCTCCTGTTGGCCAGGCGGCCAGAAATGCCCAATTCAGCCTGACTGGCCAGGTTGAACTTTTGCCGAGGTGACGCTAAGCCTGGTCTAAATGGTTTCTAGTTCACCTCAGCAGGGGTATGGGTCAAAATTAAGCCGCCAGCGGACCGCAGGTCTCAGTGCATGTGTCCATTTGCCGGGGATCCATTTTGGGGGTACCCTTTTTGACCCACAGGAAGGCAAAAGATGCAGCATCTCGAAGAACCCTTTCGGTGCATGCCGCGGCCGGGTGGCCACCGGCCTGGCCGATCGCAGGCTGCGCAGCGTGATCTGCTTCATGGAATGGGCAGGGCCCTGAGAGGCTGAGTGTGAGGGCTTGCCGCTTTTGCCGGCAATTCTCTCAATTTTTGCCTGATTTGCCGCCATGCAAGTAGGTCAGAGAGCATTCAGACAGGACCGACCGCAATTGAGTGGCTTGAAATCAGAGCTGACAACAACAGGGACTGTGTGTGCTTGATAAATTAGAGACTCGTTTTTTTTCAAAAATGTACGCTGACGAAGCACCACTGAAAATAAGCTGCCGGATTTCGGAGGCGGAACTTCAGCCAAATTCTAGGTGCCTTCCGTGGAGAAGTTGGCGCGATTCGAGGCGCTTGAGTGGTGGGCATCTCACCAGGCTACCCTAAAGTGGTGGTTTGGATTGGTTTGGGGATCTGAACCCCTGGTTCTTGTAGATTCTTTTCCGCAACCACGCTCTGGCTGTAGCGAGCTCGCGGCTCTCTTCTTGGCGCGGACCCAAAGAAGGCACTGCTGCCAATGCGGCGAACTTCCAAACACTTTCCTGAATTGCTCCAATTCAGGGCACGAAGGCACATGCTAGGCAGATGATACTGGAACGCTCAATGGGAGTGGTTTGGCTTTGTCCCGCTGACTGGGAACGCATTAAACAGAATGCTCATGCTGGGTGCAAAGTAGTCCCCAATAACGACACTTCATTTCCTCGAAAGGAAAGGGTAAGGGCGTTGTTGTTTATTTTCAGTTTCCTATGATCCACCCTCTTATCTTAAAGAGCCTCAGTGGCATGCTCGCCCCCAGAACTATTCTTCAACTTCATTTGTAAGACTGGCTGCAAGCCTGGCTGGTTCCTCTATGTTTGGTTGTTCTTGTGCTGGGGACCAATTTTCAATTAGACACTGGCTCATAGTGTCTCATGTCCCACTTGCTTGTTTCCGACGAAACCGTGCTGCAAGAAACTCGGTGAAAGTGGCGGGATGATAAAGGCGCTGAGTTGTTATGTAGACGCGTGAGTCGCATTCAACACTTACTGTATGAGATGAGTTATCGAGCAAGGCACTTGTTTCGAGTGTTGCTGTTGGCTTGGCTCAGTGGCATCATGCAGGGTATCGTGGCGTTTATCGGAGACGCCCTCCCAAACTCTCGATGTCTGAGTCGTTCAGGCTGACACGTTCATTGCATCTTACTGCCATTTGATTTGCTTTTTGGCACTACCACAAGAAATGAGCTGCCTCGTATTTTCAGGTGTGCCACAATCAAAACCCGGGTAGATGAAGGTTAGAAAGGGACAATCCCAACCATAAATAGCTGCCTCCGCCTTCTTAATTCTTTACATGGTTCTGGGTCGACCATTTTAGTACCGGGTTTTGATTAGGACTGAGGTGCCCCTTGCTTTCTTGTCACTTCACTCAGCGTTGTTATTCTTGAAGAGAACCTTACTGCCAGGGCGGCCCTGTCAACAAGTAGCGACAGTTGGGTGTCTCCTGTTTTGTGCCGCCTTTTGTGGGGTGGGAAAGGGGACAGCAGGAAAACCACAAGAAAAACCGTTGGGCCCCGCTGAATTCACACCCATTTTTGTGTGCGAAACTTCCATGCCGAGATGGGTGTACCAAAAAATTACCGGAGCCTTTCGTCGGCAAAGTCAACGCACCGATAGCAAAAAACCAAGGGACCAAGGCAACGACTGGAAAATTACCGTAAGGCAACAGAAATACTGAGAGACTGGGAAGTACAGGGAGCCTATGAGAAGTCAGGTCGTACAGCTGAAAGCACCAACATCTAAGTTGTTTTCCGACAACTTGCAGCTCGCACTTTCCTCTTCTTCTTGTTTTTTTTTTGGGGGGGGGGTTGGGTCAAAATCAAACCACCAGGGGACCGCCGGTTTTTTCTTGTTTCCATTTGCCAGGGTTCCAGATTGTACCATGTTGTTGACCCACAGCCTTTCTTGGCAGGAGGCCCTCCCTACGTGGAAGGTTCTTTGATGTTGGGCACATGCCAGACCCATGCCAGGTGTCCACCAGTACTCTCAGTGAGGATCAACGCTTCCGCCTGCGCCCTTTCCTCAGGATGCTGCGTTTGGGCACGCGTGCGATGGGAGCTCCCTGTTTGGAGGGGGGGAGGTTCACGAGCTTTTTAGGTGCCAATCGTTGACAAGCCAGATGGCAATTTGCAACCTGTTGTCAAGAGAAGGTTGGCTCTTTTTGGCTACCCGCGTTTGGCCTTGGCGTTTTGAAAGGGTTCTACACGAAACAATGATGGGTTGGGGCCACTTGAAAAACAGTAATTGAGTTAGTTTGTGAGGGAGGGCTGAGATAAACCACCCTCTAAAAGTAATAGGCTACGGGTTTGATCTGCTTTACAAAGACGACCTCGCCTGACTTGTGTGCCGCAGTCGTGCCTGATTCTGCTGGTTTTTCTATAACCCTTGGTCTTCCAAGGGCCCGCAAAAACAGGGCCCTTCTTGATGTTGCCGTTGGTTGAAAAAAGCAACAACCTGCCAAAGGCCTACGTTTTTTCCAGGGTCCTGGAAGATCAAGGAACAGAAAAGCAACCGCAAAGACCACCTTGCCTCATTTGTGCGGCACATATTTGTGCCTGAGTCTATTGTTAAACAGGATCCCCCCCCAAAAAAAATATATCGACTGGCGCCGCTCTCCAATGAGAGGTGACTCCTTCTGCAAAAAAATCCGCAGGCGAGGCCTTGGAGCTGTGTAGCGGAGGTCGCAGTGACTGCTGGGCTCTGAAGGGCACGTGGCGAGCGGCAGGGAGTTGGGGGGGCCTGAGGCTGGGCGGATCAGGTCAGCGGCGTTTCCCAGGATTGGCACTGCAAGGGCCAGGTAGAGCATAGCTTTGAAATGTTGATGACATGTTGGGCATGATTTGCGGCAACGCGCACATGACCAGGGGGTGGGGATTGCCTTGACTCACCGAGATTGCTTACAAGTAGGTTTCGTTTGTAACATCTTTGCAAGCCGAAAGACATACCATCCCACCAACGAACATGGAAGTGCACAAAGGCCCTTTCCAAGAGGAAGCAATCTTTCTATATGCAGGGGTCCATGTTAGTCGCGAGGGTTCCATCCTTCTCAAACCATTGCCATGCGTGCGACGAAGAAACTTCGCCACGAAACCCCGCGGCTTGGGCTCCAGCGGGCAAGCTCAAAGCACGGCACGGCAGCTCATGCCAAGAGTGGTTGACACCAGGCTTTGAGCACTCGCTCTTTTGGCACAAAAGGTTGGACCTCGGCCATGGCCCAGATGAAGCTGTTCGCGCTCGCAGCCCCTGAGGAGTGGAGCCATGCTGAGTGTGCAAGAAAAAAAAGGCGAGTGGAGCTTGCCGCTTGCAGGAGCCCAAACCTATCCCTTTGGTGGAGGATGGCGCCGTCTTGCAAGTTCATATGAATGAGGCTCGCAACAAGCTAGGCCTGGCCAAACTTGCCAGTGCCATCTCGCTTGTGCCACTAGGCTTTGAGACTTCATTTCTTGGGAGTGCGCCAAAGCCAGCTGAACTTGAAGCTAATGTTGACCACCCAGGATGAATAAACCCGTCCCACCAAAAGCGTTCCCTCCAGAAGTGGTCTGATTCCAACCACTAAAAGGAATTGGACACCCCCCAATCAAAATCAACCCGGGGTTCTGCTAATCCGGAGTTCGCATTATTGCCCTTTCTTTCCATGGCAGGGTTCCAAGGCATATGCCAAGTTACTAGGCTTTGACAAAAAACATCTTGGGAGCTGAGCTCGAATTGCCCAGGCTTGTGCCTCTTTGGACCTTCGGCATGCCGTACTGGTCTTGGGTCTTCAACGACGTGGTGAGCAAGGACCAGTTTCTCTGTTGCCCAAAGCCGACCTTTTGACCTTTTAGTTTCTCCTTTTTGGTCTAGTTTTGGTCATGGCCCCAAAAGGTGATCACCTTGTATTGCTGGGTCCTTTGGGCAAGTGAGGTTTGGCCCAGGGACGCACTGCAACGTGCCAGCGTCTCAAGTGCGCTGCGCCCCTGGTTGGCCGATGACCTATGAAGAAGCCGTGCAGCCACTTGGAAGCTAAGCGGTTGGGGTTGGGGTTGGGGGGTGAGATGGGGTGAGGGCGGTGGTGTGGGGGTGGGGATGGGGGGGTGGGGTTGGTGGGGGGGGGGGTTGGGGGGGAGGTGGGGGGCGGGGGGTTGGGGGGGGTGGGGTTTAAGAGTTGGAAGGCAAGCGAGGCAATCATACTTCTCGTTGTTCAGTGGCACCAATTCCCTTGTTTTTAATGTGGCTGCCCAACACCAAAAATGGTCTTCCCCAAAAATGGTTCCCTTTTTTTCCCAGGGTCACTGCTGTGGGTGTGACGAAATCCAGAAATCGCACCACCCAAGAAACCGTGAAAAACAAACAACACAGTGTTTTACAGGGGAATCACCAGGATTTCTGAGGATTTTGTCAATGCACAGTAGGTTCATAGTATATCAGTTTCTTGGGACACCAGACAATCACTCATGTACCCAGCCAATAAAGGGGTCCGACACTGGAGCGAACTGTGTCCAGTCATCAGTTTAGGCCAAACTCAACTCTTCGCCAAAGGCAAAACCCTTTGGATTGGGCGACCTAAGCTTTGCAAAAAATGAAAAAACACTTTGGATTGGGTGAGCTAAACGTTGCAAGCAAAAAAGGAAAAAATAAAAAGCACCCTTTGGATTGGGTGACCAACACTTTGCAAACAAAGAATGAAAGAACAAACACCCTTTGGATTGGGCGACCCAAACTTTGCAAAACAAAACAGAAAGAACAACACCCTTTGGATTGGGCGACCCAATCTTTGCAGAACAAAAAGAAACAACACCTTCGGGTTGGGTGACCTAAACTTTGCAACAAAAGAAAAAGCATTGGCACACTTTAATCTTGTTTGCCTCTTTGCACTGTTCCGTTTCATTTCCCTTTTTATGCTCAGCCTTCCAAGGCGAATCGGCCTTTTAAAGCATGACTCACAGAGCCTTGAGCTCTTGGCACACTTTGCATGACTCTTTTGCCGCACACGTAGAACCTCGTTTCCCAGAGCGGCTGGCCAGTGCAGCGAGATACAAATGCAGGGGGGGGGACTCCCCCAATTCCCTTCAATTGGGTTGAAGGTGCGAAAGCACATTTCTTTCATTTCCCTTTATCGTTGGCACCTGGGCCCCCAAAGGGCTTTTGTTTCTGCCGTTGACCCATCCAAAAAGAGATATAAAAGAAGAAACAAAGGTTTTCTCTTTTGGGGGGGTTCCAGGTCATAGATCGTTACAGCTTGGTGTTCTTTTCAGGCAGCAGTACTGCCATGCCCTGGCCTTTGTTTTTCAAAGGCAGCACACCAACAAAACATTACACGTTTTTTGTTTTGTTTGCTTCCTGGTCTCTTTAAACTTTGCACACTGATTCAACCAGACAGGAATATGTCCAAATAGCTGTGGGTCAAAACCAATGGTACCTTTTTGGGGTTTTCGGTGCACCACCCATTTTAGGCTTATTTGGGATGTTCACTGGGGGTACGATTTGGATTTTGACCCATGCCCAAATGACCCTATTTGATCCGAGCAACACCCAGTTTAGGCGGGGCTTGACGTCCTGTGTGCAACAGGACGGACCTTCATAATTGTATACATGCATACATGCACACGCACGCACACACACACATACTATATGTATATACATATATATATATATATAATTTACATATCTGTGTGCCCATTTTTTTTTTGCAAGTAGGCATATATACATATATATATATATGTTTATTATATATATATAGATACATATTTTGCTATCACTCCGAGAACGCAAATGACCTAGGTGCTCGCGAGTTGTCAAGCGGAACGGTAAACAGTAACTGCTCTACTTCGGGGAGTCTCACTGCTTTACTTCCCCCGACTAAAGCGAAAAAGTATAAAGTACCGCATTTGAAGCCATGAAAAGAACAAATACAGGGCTGCCAAAGGTAGAACTTGTTTTACTTCAAGGTGTTTTACATGTTTGTCTCACTAAAAGTAAACGAGTTACACACCCAACAGTAAAGTTTTTTTAATATATATATATATATTCAGATAAGGTTAAAACTCAAAAAAGTAAAACTGTCTCTCTCCATCAGACAGGTTTATGTTCACCTTTCATGGGTCTAAACAAACTCTTCTAGTCAACAAAGAAAAGAGGTACAACTTCTAGAACCATGAACAGTAAAATGTAAATTTATCAAAAGAAAACCAGTTTTGCTTCGGTTTTACGTTGTTACATCGATTTGTTCGGGAGAATGTCAAAGGTGGAACTTCCTGAAATAAAGTGAGCTTTAAATTGTCAGTTTTACTTTTTACTTTCCGCTCCAAACGTTTTACTTTTCACGTTCTTGTTTTTAGTGTGGTAAAGAAAAACAGTAGGACTCCCTGAAGTAAAACACGGTTTACTCCTGGGAGTTTTACTGTTTCACGTTTACTGGAGCCAAATCTAGAAACGTAAAGCTGCCAGGAATAGAACACCAGTCATTTTGCATGGTTGTGTGCGTGTTTGTTTCACGCCCTTTCCGGGCATTTGGGCTTGTGGTGTCCACGTGTGCTAGGAAAGGTTCCGTACAGCGTTGTAGCTTCAACTAGCTCCCCCAGTAGTGCCCTTTTACCCTTTTTGGGGGAGGGCTCCGCTACTAAAATAGACTACAGGAAAAGAAAGTTGGTACCCTTATTCTAACCTCTCTACTGGAGGTCCTAGTCAACGTGTTCCGCGCATGCTTCAAAAGCGGAGCTGCAACGAATGGCGATCCAAGGCACTACGGACTTGATCACCGGAAAGTGAACGGCACATGGTACCTCAGTTGTTCAGTGGCACCCTTTGTCTTTTTCCTTTTTTTTGTTTTCTTCTTTCTTTTTTTTGGGGTGGCTGCCCAACACCAAAAATGGATGGAATCTTCCCCAAACAGGGCTACCTTTTTTTCCCAGGGTCAAGCAACTGAGGTACGCCTGCGGGTGTTCAGGTGGTTGGGTCGCAGATTGGGTGTGCCCCGTGAACGAAGAGCGATGGAGCATTAGCCTCTTCATCCAGCCGGCTCCAGGTCAGAGAGGGAAATATGGCCGTGGTTGTCAAAACCAATGGGATCTCATTTTGGGGTTTTCGGTGCACCACCTATCTTAGGCTTTATTTTAGTAGGGAGGGGGTACGATTTCCATCGTCTGACAACTACAAGCAAAAGTCCCCCTCCCCTCCCTCCCCCTCCCCTCCCTCCCCCGCCCTCCCTCCCCCCAGCCACCATAGGGGTGGCTCCCTCCCCTCCCTCCCCCTCCCCTCCCTCCCCTTCCCCATCCCTCCCCCTCCCCTCCCTCCCCCTCCCCTCCCTCCCCCTCCCCTCCCTCCCCCTCCCCTCCCTCCCCCTCCCCTCCCTCCCCTTCCCCTCCCTCCCCCCAGCCCCCATGTGCTCGCTGGTCAGGTACAGGGGCCATGGCGGCTGTCTCCTTTTGGCCCATGATCGTGATGTGGACACATGGTCCCGGCTCACTGGGCATGTGGAAGCGGGCGCCACGGACAAACGACACCAACCCCGACGAACGACAGCAAAAACCTCTTGGGAAAACCCGTTGGAAATGGCTGGGGTGGTTCAAAAAACCCGTTTCTTTTAGTGCACCATCCCATTTTAGGCGAACAAAAATAAAGGTGGTTGGAGCGGGATGTTCACTGGGGGTACGGGATTTTTGGATTTTGACCCATGGCCATGTCATGGATGCAAAAACTTGCGTGCCAAAGAGTAACCAGAGTCTTGCTGGACTTTGGAGGGTAGTTCAAGGGATGCGAGTGATGGAAGTGTGCATGAGTGTTTCTTGTCCAAGGTGATGACCGTTGACGGTAAGAAGCCAGCAGAACAGGTGTCAACGGGTTCCTGCGGCTTCAAGCTCATCCAAGTGACGCTCTTTGTATTCCAAGTTGCCTTTGGACTTTTTCTAGTGGCCACGGATCCTTGGCTGCACATGTTTCTTGGCAGCACTACGTGGGTAAATCGACATGAGCCCGTCATTGTTTCAGGACTGTGTCCTGCCCCAGCTGCACATAATCGTGTGCTACACGTGGGCGGTGACTGCCTCCGTCCACTACCTTGCGGTCGCAGCGGTGACCTATTCGAACACACTTATGGCATCCAAAGAGAGCAAGTTCTTCATCATAGCCATCATCGTGGCCGCAATTTCCTTTTTCGGTATACCCAAGCTTCCGGTCTTCAGCTACTACCAGCCCTACTACACCTTCTGGTTCGCTGAATGTGTTGCCATGAATGCCGGCTTCCTCATGTCGCCCCTCGCCATCCTCATTCTAGAATGAGCCTCTGAGCCTCTGAGCCTTGCAGGCTGAACCAGTCTCGTACACACGTGATGCAGCATGCATGTGCTGGCGGAACTACGCATTGTGTTCAAGAGGGACCTGCTTTCATGCATGGTGTGTCGCGGAACCGCAAACGTCGTGGCGGCACGGCGAACCATCGCCGCATGGCACAAGGAAAGTGGGGGCTGTTGTCTTATGCTCAGTCCAAAACCGACCTATTGGTTTTCCCTTTCGGAGGCCCCAGAAGGCCAACGCTCGATTTCCAGGTCCTCGAATTGAGACATTTCACAGGGAAGCACCCACTACCAGCAGCCGCGCGTGTAATTCGGCGCACCGCCGTATGCCCTTGTGCAGAGCCGCTGCGAAAAAGAAAAAAATCGAAGGCGAAGCGGTTGAGAGTCAAGTTGTGTGAAGGTGCAGGATGCGTCCCTTGGTACGCCTCTTCAAATAGCGCAACTCGCAACATGCTCTGAAGGCATTTCTGAGCTCCTTTGGCTCTGCGCCAAGTTGTGCTGAGGCTCTGCGGGCTTTGGGGAACAGGAGGCGTGGAAATGATTCGTCGATGTCGGGTCTGCTGATTTTTTCGGGGATCTGGGGGGCTTTTCATGTCAGGATGCATTGTCTTCGTTAGCAACCCTTGCCTGAGCGAGAAGGGCAAGAGCCCGAGCTTGAAGCTGCCGCCTTGCCTTCTTCGTTGAAAGTGTTACGTTCCAAGTGTCTTTTGCAAAGTGCGATATGTATACAAAATATTCTCCATAATTAGTGAATTCGATAGAGTTCTTCAATACCAGCATGGTTGGAAAAAACTGTGGAAGCAGGTTATGGAAAAAGAAGGACAAAGAAAGAACACTACGCCTGACAAACAACCTGCGCTTTGCCGTCCTGCTGTTTTCCGCGGCGGTTCACATTTCAAATGTCTTGGGAGCAGCCATTATACATTACTTTGGCAAGAACTTCCCCGTTCTGTTGAAGGAGCCACGTGTTGAATCACGCGGGAACAACACGCCAGCCTTCAAGGGCTGTCGCTGTAGAAGGAATGTAAGCAACAGGTCACTACTAGGGTGCAAAGCGTGCGGAAAGCACAAGTGACATCGGTCCAAAAGGAGGTCGACACTATTGAGGGTCCTTCGCTAGGTGCGCGCGCTATGCAACGTCCTCGACTTGCAGATGGAGGGTGCAGCTTTCACTGCCCGGTTGCCCAGAGACATCAGATCAAGTATGACAGCTGTATAGTAAGTCCAGCCTCACATGCTGTTATATGTCAGTTCCAGGACCCACTTGCTGACAATTCGTTACATGGGGATGTTTCTTGAGTTGAGTTTGGTTGTTTGGTTTGGCGTGGACCGCGTCTTCCTGAAGAAAGACGGCCGCAACAGCCGGGGAAGGCCCCATTTTCGGGTAGGCACACCACACATTTCAGAACCTCTTTTTTTCGTGGTTGGATTGAATCGGATGTTCACTGGGGGCTAAATCCGATTTGGATTTTGAAAAGCCCATGGCCATGTTTTTATCAGAGGGCATTTTCTGAGCCGCCTGGCGGTTGCTCGAAGGCCCGAAGCCGCGATTTCTGGTAAAATCAGGATCCGAGTCGCTGAGGCCGCTATGCCGCCCTGCAGCCGGGCACTTGGCTCGTCCATTTCTTCGGTGGCACCCCTGGTTGTCCGTTTTTTTTTTTTTTTGGGGGGGGCGGGTGGGGCAGTCAACAGGAAAACTGAAACCAGCGTTTGGTCCCGGGTCCCCAAAAAGAGGACGTTCCCACTTTATGGCTCTCAATCAGAACCGTAGATGAAGGTGAGGGATAGTCCCGACCATAAGGCGCGGCTTTCTGCTCTTGCACAATGGGTTATAAACTTATGGAGGGGTCAACAGCAAAAAAAAACAAAAAAACAATTCCAGTTTGGTCTTGTCATCTCCTTTGCAGCACGATATTATGTGTTTCTTGGATGGTTTTGGGACAATGGGAAAGTGCCACTCTGACATGTTCTTGGCTTCGAAGATTCTCCATCCGGTTCACGAAAACCAGCCGCTTGGGGTGGCTAGATCGGATGCTATGGCTCAGGCTAAGGGAGGGCCGGTGGCTTTTGTATTCGTCTGCGATAAGATGAGGGTTGTCTCAAAAATAGCACTTGGAACCCTGAACATGGGTGGTGTCCTTTTGGGTTACATTTCAACCAGCCAAAAACAAGGGTCAACAAACAGACATCCCCTTTGCGTTGAGCGCGTTTCATGGCAGCAGATGCGGCATTGCCACGGGATGGCCGAGCATCAGGAAAACATTGTCCGGGCCAGGGGAAGAGGTTACGGGACATGTTGCTCGTAGCCTCCCGATTATCATGGAACCTGGCAGGGTCAGCCCTTTCGACCGTTTTACTTTAAAAGGACCCATGGTCACACTGGTGCATTTTGCAAAGGGATAGATATTAGGACTTTAACTTTTTGCCAACCAATGGGTTTTCCGTATGAAACCGCTAACAGTTTTTCACGTTTAGCAGGAAGCAGCCGAGTTTTCGAACCGTGCCAAATGGGTGGGCCTTTTTTGAGGGTACCGGTTTTTGTGGTTGTTAAAGGGGGGCCACAGGACCACCACAGTTTCTGGGGGAGGTCCGGGTCCGTCCCCCCCCCCCCTAGGCAGCCGAGTGTCAGGTTCCACGTCAATTTGTGGCAGGGTCGAGGAAGCCAAGTTGTGAAGGCCGCGTCAGCATGGCGGAGCTGGAGAAGCAGCTGGCAACGCAGAGCATCTACAAGATGCAGCAGGTGGGGTGGGTGGCCACTGAAGGCAGGCTGATTTTCTGGGCTCCCAAAAGGCCATCCGGTTCCTTAGCTTTTTAGCCTTTTAGTCTGTTTAAAGTTTAGTGGTTGGGTGTCCGAGTTTTTATCCCACTAAAAGTTATTCACTCTTGGCAGGGGATCTGAGGGTAGCCCAGTTTTGAAGAGGTGACATGCTGCCTGATTTCCTGAGCGGCCACACGGTTTCTGATTCAAGAATTCCAGGTGTTCGCCTTCAGGGGTTGGCTCCCCCCTTCTTTTCAGCCATCGTTCTTTTCAAGAACCAGCCGTTTCCCCGGAGGTTGTGGTGGGTTTTTGTAGAATGAAGGATCTCTGGAAAAAATGGGGAAGCTAATGTTGACTCCATATTAATCAACCCCAGTTTACGATTGGGGGCGATTTTGCTCCAAAAGTGATTCCCTCGTTTTGCTCAACGCCGGGCCTATGAATCAAGAAACTAAGGTTGATTATTTTTTGGTCAAAAGAATACACCCAATGATCACTTCAATGCCTTTGATTCTTCGCCGTATTCGCGGACTGCCGCATTTCGCCAGGGAAGGCTTTTCGTGGCTCTGAGCCTTCAAGAGGCGGAGCACTTGCGAGGCTCCATGCAACTCGGCGCCCAAAAAGCGGGCGGAATGGATGGGCTTTGGATGGGTAGAGGTTCCCAAGAAATTCCCAGTGCAACAAGGACACATACTGGGTCCCCCAGGATCGTGCCCTTTCTCACTTTTTTTGGTTGGGAGGGTTCCCCTACTACAATAGACTGCAGAAAAAAATCAGGTACCCTTATTCGAACCTCTCTGGAGGACCTAGCATCACTTTATTATAGGTTGGCAACATGTCATGGCAACATACCGCAAGGTACCAAGTTGAATCCGAGGTTCCCATCTTTTTGTGTTTGGCACCTTCGGGTTTCGGAGCTTGGGGGTTACAGCGCTGGCCTGAATGTTCTTCCCGAGCTTTCTCTTTCCCAATGAGGCCTGCTTAGCTTAGCGATCTCTTTGGGACAGGTTCCATTTTCCCATGTTGGTCCTCGCTTTCTGAGGCATCTTCTGAAAAGCCGTTCCCCAGATTGCGGCATTGCTCTGAGGCAGGGGGAGAATGAGTTGAACGCACGTCAGATCTCCCATTTGTCTCAAGGCTTAACCCCTTGGGCTTTTTATGTGCTTCATTTTGAGCAGCGCCCTCAGCTACCAAGCCATTTTCCGGTCGGAGACACCCGCCCCCCCAAATAAAACACCGCCAAAAAAAGGCCCATGACCCAAAGGCACTCGGGGATTGCGCCAGGTGCGTCGGCTGTAAGGAGGCCAGAGATGAGTCCCTGCTGGACTGGCACGGCCCCGTGCTCCGCCGGGGCCCCAACAAAAACGGATCGCCTCCCAAGGATCGGATCCAGGCGTCCGGATCGGATCCTCACTTACTGGGATTTTTTGTTTGTTTGGGGGGGGCGCCAAAAGGAAAACCAGGGGTAGAAATCCACCCACAATTTTGGGTCTCGCTTCCTGAGTTTCTGGTGCGCGGTTGTGTTTGGACTTTTTCTCGCAAATCCACTCGGGAAGTGAGGATGCGAATCGAGCTGAAGATTGACCCTGGTTTGATCTACTTTTCGTCAAGGTGCCAAAGAAATGACCTTTGAATTTCACGTCCTTTGGGCAAGTGAGAATTCGACACGTCCATGTTTCATGGATTGGGCATTTGAAACATGGGCTTATAGACTGGTTTTGATGGGCCTCTGAATTGGGACGGGACGAGTCGTGTCGGTCCAAATTGGAAAGTGAGCACGGTGCAACTTCTGGACATAAATCCTTCCGGGATCCACACAGCAGAAAGATGCCTGCCAGTTGAAAACCAACAGGGGAAATGGAAGTGAGGGTTCTCGTCCTCTACTTGCTTAAGCCCCCTGGAAAAATGTCCACGTATCCCCAACAGCCTCCTCCGCAAATGCTTCGACCTGCATCATACCTGATCACCTGCTTCAGAAATGCCGGCCAACATGTTGAGAGTTGTGTATTTGAAGAGGCGTACCCAGAGGTATTGGATGCTGCGTTGACCACTGGTGATTTGTTGGTTGAATGAGTCGTCAGAATGTGTTACTGGGAGTCTGCAAAATGTCAGCGCCAGGATTTGGGGATGGACAGACACCTGAGCCATAATCAAAACCAGGTCATATGCAATGCTGTAAAATTACTTGAATACGCAGATCGGCTTTGATTGTGACTCACCTGTTTGGAGAATCACTGCTTCAACCGGCGGTTGACTCAGAAGATGAACCCTTGTAGGAGACGCTTCTTGTTTTGCATCGTTTGCGACCGGTTGGCAGCGGCAGCAGTTGCAGCGAGTTGTTTAAGAGCAACCTTCTGCTTCGAGCTTTGGTGTAGGACCACTACATGGGCGTGTCGTTTTTGGGGGACCCCCCCCCCCCGCCCTTCCCCAAAATGGCGGCTTCCTTATGGGTTTTCTTTCAACCCCCCAAGACAGGCACCCTCAAAAAGATAGACCCATATAACTGAACTTCCCCAGTTGTCCATCTACATTTTTTGCTTTGGCCCTGGTTGCTCATTTGCTGCACGGTCTCCCCTTACGCAGTGCACATGTTGACACTCCTAACTTGTTTGCCAGGCAGCAACACTACTAAGCTTCCTGGACCCCCAACGCACCTCTTTCTTCTGCCAATAACCCAGTTTTTTTTTTTTTGGGGGGGGTTGCCACCCCCCAAAGCACCTCTTTTCTTTTCTCCGTTTTTTTTCTGTCTGTATACCCCTTCTTTATGTGGCCACCCCTGAAAATTCAGGCACCGAACTTGGTCACCAGCTGGAGGCGCGGAGTGGGCATTTCTGGTTGGTTCCGCTTGGGCCGGTCATGCAGCAAGAGGCGAAGTCAAATTAGCCACGTGCTCAAAACTTGGGTAGATGAAGGTTAGCAAGGAGCAGTCCCAACCAGAAATAGTTGCGGCCGCCTTCTTAATTCTTTACATGGTTCTGGGTAGACCATTTGAATACCGGGTTTTGATTGTGACTCAGATGGACAGAAGGGTTCCGCTGCACGGCCGGAAAAAACCTGACCCCAGCTTCTGGAAGCATGTCGCGAATTGAGCGGCGAAACACTGCCATGGGCTGTTGGCCTGTGGGTAGCTTGCCGCGCGCCAAGAACATGTAACCCACCCATCCGCAGATGCTGGCAGAGACCTGGCGTTCTCCCCTGGCAACGCCCTGCCCATTCGAAAGGCAACGTGAAGCGCTGCGCATTGTGCCTTCCAAGTGCTTGTCATGTTGACTGAGTCTGTTCTACCCACTGCGATTGCCTGTCAGGAGGTGCTCTTCCCGACAAGCAGGGGAACCCTTACTCACCTGCCCCAGAATGGACCTGGAAATAAACGGTTCACCTTCTGGGGCCACTAACAATCGATCAGACCGGAGAGACCAAAAGGTCACTTCGATCGGAATTCCAGCCAAGTTCTGGCTGAGCTCGTTTCTTTTTAGCCCAAAAGTTGCAAACTGAGGGCCCGTGGGGTCCACCTTGTGCTTTGATGAGCGGCCAATATGGGGATGTGTGGAAGGGGCACACCAAAGCTGGTGCCATTGGTTTGTGCCCCAACGAGAAACCAAGGAGGAAAAGGGTACCATCCAACAAAAACGCCTCCAACTCCGGAATTCCACCTTTTGCGGATTAGGGGTTATATTCCAAAACGGTGTGGAAAAATCCGCCGGGGTCCAAGTCCCACATCCCGTCCCTCCCCTTCTGGAGGTGGCGGAGCAGCTTTTCCGATTTCTGAACTCCGTGGAGGATTTCCAGGCAGCTGACGAGAAAGCCCCTCGAAATCGGCGCAAGGGGCGTACCCAGACTCAAGGGCGAACCGAGCAGACTTTTGAGTTTGCTGGTCAAGTTGCAGCTTCTTCTTTTTTGTTTGCAGAGTCAACTTACAGAGAGCTTGCCCTGAAAAAACTTGGAACAAGCCTCGCAGGAAGGGGCCTCTTTACCGTACATACAACCCCAGCCCAGGTAGCGCGGGCCCCTTAGGAACCATTTTCCAGTTATTCCGCGCGGTACATACTCTAGACAAAATCATACCCATCAACTCTAAATTTACACGTATCAATAAATGCGCAGCTTGAATTTGAGCAAGGGCACCCCCTGCATTTTGAGTATGCAAGCCCAGTTGTCACGTCACAAGCCCGCTTACATTGACACCAGATTGACATCTTGGATGCATTTTCTCTGGTAGCGTTTGGCTCGGTCTTGCTCAGCCTTTGCGTGCAAGATTCACAGCTGGATTGCCTCATGAGCTCCTGTTTGTTGTTCCCCTTTCAAACTGGACATTTTGAGTATCTTTGTGGCGACGCGCATTTGCGGAGGCGGCCTGCGGAAAAGCGCTCACGTTTCACAGCTGGCGCGTATTTCGAGCGCCAGGCAAGAGAGGTGAGCGTGCTGCTGCGCGCCCTTCAGCTGACACGGATGGAGGCCTACCTGTCGGTTCAGTAGGTTGATAGATCGGTTGTTTTGAACGGCAAGGATTTGGCGGGGTGCTTGCAGCTGAGTGCGCGGCCTCTGGCGGGGATGTCTTTTGTTTCGATCGTTTACCTGGTTTGGTCCTTATTGTGCTGGTTGAGCTGGCATGTGTCTGGACAAAGCGCTCCAGGCCTTTCACCGAAAGCCAGACGGCCAAATGGCATTTGCTTGCAGCGGTGGCAGGTGGTTCTTTGACATGGCAGTTGGGCTCCTTGCTCAGCCGACAGGCGACATTTAACTAGAACACAAACAGATGGGTTCCATGGCCCAGTCGATTGTAGCCTTAAGAGGTATCCATGGGTCGTCTTGTTCAAGAAAGGTATTTCGAGGTATGGTTGTTTTTGCTCTTTGATGAGAACCCAGGCTGGGGACCCAGGAATTCCCTCAAAGCCCTAAACAAACAGACCGAGGCCTATGGGGTTTGCTTGAAACATATGACGAGATATGAGGCAGAACCTGACAAAAGATCGGTGTTAGGGGAGTGTACCGCAACCTAAGCGGAAAGTAACAGGACCCTTCGACAGGCAGGGAATGAGGGAAAATGACCCCTATAACCCATCGCCAAAGGTTTCCTTTAAGGGAATCCATCCAAAACCCTAGGTCGCCCAGTAGCGTCCTTTTACCCTTTTTTGGGTGAGGGTTCCCCTACCCAAACAGACTACCAAAAAAAAGTACCAGGAAAAATGGATGGCGATTCCTGGTTTACCTGGTGGTTTAATCATCCACCAGGGAAACCCATCTATTTCCCCTAAAAGGACACCTATGTTCCCACCCCAACTCATGGGGGCTGGGTGGGAGGGAGCCCAAAGCTTTTATTAACTTAATAAGCCCTTATTTAGGGTTTATTTGGGCTCCCCTCCCTCCCTCCCTCCCTCCCCCTCCCTCCCCCCCTCCCTCCCCCCCTCCCTCCCTCCCCCCCTCCCTCCCCCCTCCCTCCCCCCCCTCCCTCCCCCCCCTCCCTCCCCCCCTCCCTCCCCCCCTCCCCCCCCCCTCCCCCCCTCCTCCCCCCCTCCCTCCCCCTCCCTCCCCCCCTCCCTCCCCCCTCCCTCCCCCAGCCCCCATGACCAACCCATCGCAGCCACTTTAGAGGCTTTGCAAAGCTAGGACCGCCTGCCGTGGTGGCTGGACACGCGTGGGTGCCGGCGGCGCAGCCACAGGCGCGCGCCGGTCGAATTGACCTGTTTGGTGTTCCCTGTTGTTTGATCTTATTTTAGCTATCCCTTGGGTTCAACCCCCATGAAGAGAATGGTTGACCCAATTTGGATGAAACTCCTTAGGTGAATAATGACCTCCCCTGTTGCCTCCCCCGTTTTGATCTGATTTGGCTATTAATTTGATGGGGAACCCCTGACAAGTGGTTGGTGGACATAAACATCCCCAGCTAAGTGATGTCCACCAAAGGGTCCCTATTCAAGATTCATACCCGTTTTGGTCATGGCACCAAAAGGTGATCAATTGATTTCCAAGTTTGTAAGGGGCAAGTGAGCCTCTTCGTGAAACAGTGGGTGCGCGTTCTTTCGCTTTTTTTTGAGGGCACGTTCTTCACCTTGCCTCAGCCAACAGGAGAACGCGTTTTTTAGAGGGGCGTCATGTTGACAAAGGCGCGTGCAGACGCCAGCAACGGATTCCCAATTTCGCGTTCCTTTAGCTGCAGCCTGCTGAAGTCGGGTATGCAGCGGTCTGGCGTTGATGTGCGGTTTGGTCTTCAGTGCTCGCCCCACACGGAAGCTGATCTGGCCTAGAACAAAATCGGTTTGCTTGGAGCCCAGGTACACTCTAAACCACTCATGGTAAGCATTCCCTGGGGAGGATAAGCTTCACGGAAAGCATGGTCGAAACCACAAGCTAACCGCAAGCTAACCGGAAGCTGTAGAAGTTCTCCAAATATGACAGCCGAAGTTCAGATTGAAATATCGAATGCATGCGATGCCCCGGCAACAAACAGACACATCCGTCCCATGGCGTTAGAATACTTGGGTCTTCCAACATGTGCAAAATTATTGCTGTTTTGTCAAATAGTTTTGACCAAACGGCGATTATTTTCGCCTGCCGGCAGTTCTCAGTGTTTGCGCACACTAGCATCAAACAACATTGCAAAACGGCGTAATTTGCCATCAAAACGGCAGAATTTGCCGGCGACACGTTTTTTTTTTTTGCCTGGTCCCGAGCTGGACACGCGGCGAGCGCGTTTTCTCCGAAAGAGCGTTTTTTTTCCAGCAGCCGGCGAAAACTCTTGCTGTTTTGGCAAAAACGGCGTTAATTTTACATGTCGGAAGGTCCAGTTGAGAGAGATGTCAGTGGTCAGGTTCCCCTCGGTTTGGATTGCAACTTGTTCGGAATTCTGGGACTTTGCTTTTGATCCAGAGGGACCTGATGCGAATTCGGTGGTTTTCCCGTGTTTTCCAAGTTTCTCCTCTTTTCGTCCTGCCGTAGCTTTGACAAACCAAGCCACAAGTTGGACCACGGGACCTGGACGCGAAGATTTGAGCACTATCTTAGCGCTTTAGCACCCTTTTGCTCTCCGTCAAGGGTGGGTCCCAAAAAACCGCGCTCCAAGCCGTAGATTTTTGATCAACCACGCCACCAGTCGGACCACGATAAACGGACCCGGACGCGAAGGCCGTGGCAGAGGATGCCGGTGGCCAAAGTCTTTCTGCAGCAAGACGAGTACGAGGACTGGGCCACGAAGGCGCGGGACTCGAGCGGCGTTTTTTGCGGCGCCCATTTGGAGTGGCCTGGTGGCTTGCCCCTGGTTTGAATGTTTTGTGGTTGCCAAAAGGTGTGAACCTTTTACTTCCCCAGGTTTTTGAGGGGCAGGTGAGGGTTTGTTTTAAAGATATGTGTGGGGGTTTCGGACAAAAGGGAAGCAGGGACAAGGGAAACCAAACGGACAACTAGAATTTGTTGGGTCTAGTTTGAGATGTAGGGGGCGCGATAAAAAGTGGAAGGTGGACATCAATATTTTGTTGCGCTGAGTCTGTAAAAGGGCCACTCCGTCCGTCTGCTGACCCGTCCACCAGTGCAATGGAGCACCGAAGGTCCACCAATCCATGAACTTTAAACTTTTGGGAAGATCATTTAGCCAGGTAAAATGGAGGTCAAGAAAACAGGTCAGGTGGGTTGGAAAATGTTGGAAAAACAAATGGGTCCTTCGTGCAGGCTCCCTGAACAACTGGATTTGGGCCACTTATCCACTTTTGCCAGCTGATTTATTGGATTCCCTTCTCCAGGCAGGCAGACATAATTTCCCTTAGAGAGTGCCCTCCCCCAGACTAGCATGGAAGCTCCCAGCACCCCTTTGCTTTGGAAGACAGCTTCCATGGTAGTCTGAGGGAGTGTAATGTTGACCCGGATTAGCCAACCCCCCCCCGCTTACTAATACTGGATGGACGAAACCCTGCACCACTGTTGAAACCAGGGAAACCATTGTTTGTTGGTATTTGCAGGCAATCGTCATTCCAGGGCTTAGGTGGCAAAGAATTTCGGCCGTCCACTGCATGGGTGTGTTCCCCTTCAGAAGTGATGAGCCCGCACTAAAACCGAAAACACCCCCATCTGAATAAGTAGGGGGGTATTAATCCTGGGTTGACATTGGGTGAGCCACAATCAAAACCCCTGTAGATGAAGGTTAGCAGGGGATACTCCCAACCATAAATAGCGGCCGCCTTCTTAATTCTTGAAGCATGGTCTGGGTGGACCATTTTAGTACCAGCTGATTATGTCATCCGGTGGTTTGAGTATCCTTCACATCAACCTCCACTAAAACCAGGGACAACCCCATCCTCCTCAACCCCATCCTCCTCAACCCCATCCTCCTCCTGGGTTGACATTAACTGGTTTTAAGTGGTATCCGTTCAACTCAGGGGTGGTGCATTCCAGGAAGGAGAATCCCTGGGTTTAGGTGCATGGAGAGTCCAAAAGTGGGAGGTTCGGGGGCCCCGGAGCCAATTTACCGATCGGTTTGGATGAGGTGGTTTTGACCCTTGGAATACACCTACTGGGTATTGACCCCATTTAGGCACATTTCCGGACCAAACCGGGTTATTTTGAACCATTCTGGGTCATTTCTTAAGGGTGTAATCCCAGGGTGTAATACAAAAACCCTCAGATTTTGAGTATCAACCCTGAGGTTCCCCCTCATTGGTTCGGATTGGCAGTGTGGGACTTGAACCCCTGGTTCTTGTGGAGGGCACACCTCCCTTGATGTTGGAGCCTCCGTACACGGCCACACCCACATGGAACCGGTCAGCTGGACCCGCTTTTGTGGAAATCCTGGGGGATTGGGAGGGACAGTACGTACTTTAGCATTGCCAATGCTACTTTAGTATTGCCAAGGCTGGCTCTCAGCTTCCCAGTCCTTACTTTAGCATTGCCAATGCTACTTTAGTATTGCCAAGGCTGGCTCTCAGCTTCCCAGTCCTTACTTTAGCATTGCCAATCTACTTTAGTATTGCCAAGGCTGGCTCTCAGCTTCCCAGTCCTTACTTTAGCATTGCCAATTCTACTTTAGTATTGCCAAGGCTGGCTCTCAGCTTCCTAGTCCTTACTTTAGTATTGCCAATGCTACTTTAGTATTGCCAAGGCTGGCTCTCAGCTTCCCGGTGCTTACTTTAGTATTGCCAATGCTACTTTAGTATTGCCAAGGCTGGCTCTCAGCTTCCCAATACT